CTCTCTGTCTCTCATTCTGTCTCAAATAAATAAATAAAATCTTTAAAAAAAAAAATACATATATATATATGCTCTGATTACTATTAAGATTTCTCCTTTGACCCATGTAAGTATTTAGAAGAGAATTAATTACCAAACACATGGAGATTCTCATTTTTTTTGTATTGATTACTAACAGCATTGCATTATGGTCAGAGAACACAGTCCATATGGTCTTTTGAAATTTGTTGAGATTGGCTTTTGATCCTTTGAAATGTATTATGATTTGCTTTATAGATCGATTTATTTGAAAAATGCTTCTGTGCATACTTTAAAAAAGAAAGTGTCTTCTCAAACTGTTGGGTGCAATGTTTTATATCTTCCCATTAGGTCAGATTAATTGTGTTCAGATCTTCTATAGCTTTATTTTACTCTCTGCTTCTTTCATAAGGATGTTTTGAAATTTTACATAATAATTATGGAATTGTCTGTTTGTTATTTATTTTGAAGCTATATTGTCAGGTGCCTTAATATTGTTACACCTACCGGGTAAATCAAATTTTTCATTTTCAAGTGTCATTTATAATATTCACTGTGTTTATTTCTGGTAATACTTTTTACCTTAAAGTTTCCTTTGTCTGATATTAGCGTAACATCTGTAGGTTCTTTTGGTTAATACTTGCACTGTATATCTTTTTCTATTCTTTTGTTTTTAATCTTTCTATGCCTTTGCATTTAAAGTATGGTTTGGTTTTCTATCCTTTCTGATGTTTTGTGGACGTATAGTTAGGTTTAATCCTTTATCACCTGTTTTATTAGGTTTCTTTTCCTTTCCTCTTTTAGAATCTTTTGGGTTATATTTTTATCATTGAATTTCCCCACTCTGTTGGAAGTTACAGAGTCTTTTGTTTTTCTCTTAGTTGTTATCCTAACCTTTGCAGCAAGCAGTTGACTTATGAAAGTCTAATGTCTAGTACCTTCACTCTCTTTTTGGACAGTGCAAAATTCTTAAGAGTATATTTTACTCTCGTCCTGACTTAAATCCTATTGCTGTGTATTCTATTGTTTTAAACTCAAAGAGATGTTATTACCATTTTATACAACCGGTTTCCTTTTACCCACAGATGCTTCTCTTGGGTTGCTCTTCATTCTGCCCTGCATTCTGGAGCTTGTTACCTAGGATGATTTTGTTGTCTGAAGAATACCCTTTAACGTTTCCTTTGTGTTGGTCTGCTGGTGACTCGTCCTTAAGTGTTTGGTGATGTGTGTAAGTGATTGTGTTTTTTTGGAGTCATTCTTGAGTCTGTGGCTTGATGTCTTTCCTCAGGCTTGGAAAATATTTGGCCTTAACACCTTCAGATTTGATTTCTGCCCGTTTCCTTGGTATTTTCCAGCTGTCTTACTTTCCATGGTTCATTCTGGATATTTTTACTTGGACCTATCTTCCATTGTAGCAAGTCTCTTGATTTTTTTCTAATCTATTAAAACTATCTCTTGAATTCTTAATACTGATTTTTGTATTTTTTCAATTCTAGAATTTACATATGGTTTATTTTTATAGCCTCCAGCTCTCCTCACATTCTTGATTTTGTCTTTTATCCTTTGAACAGAGCAGCATGTCTGTCTGGTACCTGCAGTAGTTGGGAGTCTGTGTTTGTCTCTGCTGACCTGGGACTGGGGTTTCTTGCAGGTTTTCACTTAGGTCATGCTGTGTTGTACCTGGATATTTTAACTTACGTGTCAATCACTATATTTTACAATTATTTTAGAAATAATGCAAGGCCTAGTATGTCTTCTTCCAGGGAGGATCTTGGGTTTGCTTCTGCTGGGAGACAGGGAAGCCCTAGCAAGTTGGGGTCCTCTGACCCCAGTTTTGGTGACTGATCTCTTTGAAGCAGGGCTGCAGGTCCTGGAAGGATGCCAGCCTGTGGCTCCCTCAGTCTCCAGGTGCAGCTCTGGGTGCTAACCCGAAGAGGGGGTTCACACGATTACTGTCCCCGTAGCCCTGGAGGTTGGTGAGAAGAGTACCTCTCAGCCAACCCTCTGGAACGGTCAACCCTGTCTCAGGGCAGAAGAGACCCAAATGTCTGTCTCCCCACTGGTCCAGCCACTCTCCCTGCTCCTGTTCACACTGCCTTGTAGCAGATGGTTTTGGTATTTTGTCCAGCTTCCTCGGGTGGACCTCTGTAGTCGGGTTGGCCCCCGATCACACAGTCCGGCATTACTCGAAGTGAGAGTCTGGCCCTTCCATTTTATGTCTGATTTTATGTGTAGTTTTGTGCATCTAATGAGTGAAAAATGTTTGGTATAATTTGCATTTCCTTGATAATTAGTAAGGTTTGGCATCTTTTCATATATTTATTGGCTATTTTCTTTTGTCTGTTTATTGGGTTTCACACCTTCTTTGGGAAGTAGCCTCTTCCAGACGGATCTAGCGCTTGATGCCTTGGTACTGATCATCAGTGATTGCTGCCGATCTCTGTCTCCCACATTGGTTTTAGACGGTGTTATATAGATATTTTTCGTCTTTGGGAATTCAGATCTGTCAGTCTTTTCTGACTTGTCTTGTAATGAGGACACAAATATTTTATACTTTTTTATGTTTATCTCCTTAATTTGTTTGGACCGAATTTTTTGTGTGTTTTGTGAAATACCTGATTTCTTAGCCAAACAAACCAAGTGTAGAAGAGGTTTTGCAAGCCCCAAAAGAGCCACCAGCCGGCCTGAGGCACCTTGCACAGTCGTGCGCAGGGAAGGTGGGAACTGGACGTTTTCTTGGGGTGGGACTCAGGAAAGGGCTACAGGGAAGGTGAGACTGATCTGTCAGCATATGATGAGGGCAGTGACAACCTGTAAGGCCCATTTCCTTTTTTGTAATTAGTTTATTTTTGTAAAAGTGAGAGCTATTCAATCTAAAAAATTCAAATAATAATGTGAAACGTCAAAGAAGGGGGAAGATGCCCCAGACTCGACACCAAGGTGACGCTTTCCAGAACCTCTCTGTGTGTCTGCCGTGCAGGTGGGCACACACGGCCTCATGAGTTGGGTCCCCCAGAGCACACCGTGTGTGGTTTGCGTCGGCGGCCCTGGCGAATGTGTTTGTGGCTGGTGCGCGCACGTGCTCAAGCCCGGTGTTGAGAGCCACAGAGCCTGGGTTCAGCCTGGGTTCGAACCCAGGCTTGCCGTCACCGGGTAGTGCTGAGCAGGCCGGCTGTGGGTCACTCTGGGGATGAAGTGAGCTCACGCAGAGCCTGGCAGCCCTCCATCCACGCAGCGTCCTTCGTGGTGGCGGTGTGACCCGAGCAGGCCTCACTGGGTGTGTGTGGAGCAGAGCTGGCCCACACCGTCAGGGTGCCCAGCGCCCTGGTAGCCCAGGTAGCGAACTTCCAAGCTGGCAGACAAGCCTGCATCCTAGTGTTTGGAGTCGGGGTCCACGTGCTACCTGCAGTGAGAGGTCAGGGCCGGGCTGGCCTGGGGCTTCCTCACTCACCCCCGGGTCTGTAGCGGGTTCCTGGGCCGTGCCGGGTGCGTGTGGTGGGGGTGTGGTCCCGGCGCTGACCTCTCCGTCCCCCGTAGGTTCAGCAGTACCGGGTGGCCATGACTGCGAAGGACTGCTCCATCATGATCGCGCTCTCCCCCTGCCTGCAGGACTCCAGGTGAGCTGCCTGCTGCATGGCCGTGCCCGTGTCCCTGCGGCCAGAGCGCCCTGGCAGGGCCACGTCTGCTGACAGGCTGATGCCCGCGGCCCGCACGACACCTAGTAACCCGCCACGGCTTGCTGACTCCCACTGCTCTCTAGAAGCGTGTGAGTCAGCTGGAAAGACATTTATGGAGAATAACTTAAAAAGACTGTCCTATTAAAGATTACTATGATTTTCTTTCTTTTTTTTTTTTTTAAAGATTTTATTTCTTTATTTGAGAGAGAGACACAGCGAGAGAAGGAACACAAGCAGGGGGAGTGGGAGAGGGAGAAGCAGGCTTCCCGCTGAGCAGGGAGCCCGATGCGGGACTCGATCCCAGGACCCCGGGACCATGACCCGAGCCGAAGGCAGTCGCCTAACCAGCTGAGCCACCCAGGCGCCCCAAGATTACTATCATTTTCTAAGAAAATACTCCAAAGACTTAGAAGCAGCTTGGATCCTTGGTACAAATTCCTTCCTCTCAAGGCCCCACATGCCCACTGAGGCTTGGAGGCCTGAGAAGCTGCAGACCCCCCACCAGGTCCTGACCCTCATGTGCCTGTGGGACAGCACGTCGCTGTTGCGCGTCCTGTTGGCAGCAGCTCTCCCTGGACATTATCATCCTTGTCCGGTCCCCTCCCCTGCCTTTTTTTAGGAATTCAGGATGAACCTGTAATCTTCTCTTGCTAATTAGGTGGCATCTTCAGCATTGATCCTCAGGGTGCCAAACCCCACACACAGTGTTTGTGGAATGTTCCACATTCTTCTGACGTGTGTTCCCGGGTCAAGATGACCTTATCGTTGGCTGCCAGCCACCCGTTTTTCAGATGCTTTTGAACTAAACGTTCCCAGGACCGCTGCTCCCTGGCAGGCATGGAGCGGATCGGAAACACGGAGGGATGTTCGTAGGGTGCAACTGAAGTACAAAAAGGCTGTTCTGTTTAGTGGAGGACCCCTGTGATCCCGTGAGGAAGTGCCTGCAGTGCGAGTTCACTGATCGAGCTGGCCTTGTCCGATGGCAGAAGCATGCAGATGTCACCCGCTGCCCTTCCTGAAACAGGCACGCACTCAGGAATGTGCGGGAATGTGCAGGGCTGGCCGGCTGCTTGGCAGGCGCAGGCGCAGACGGGGCGGGGTGGGGGTGCATGTCCTGGGAGCCCCGTGGCGCAGAAGCGTTTCGGCTTTGGAGCTGCGCCCTGGGCTCACGGGAGCTTGTGGTGGACACACAGGCAGCCCGTGTGCCGAGCGATGCCCCTCTGTGTGCGTGTCGCCTTGTCAGGTGCCGGCTCGGCGGGGGAAACCTGCTGGGGGCCGGAGAGGTGCTGTCCCGGCCCTGCTGCCTGGAGCTCAGGCCTCAGAAGCGGGACCTTCACTGCCGTTCGGGAGGGAGTAGCTATGACCCAGCAGCTGAGCCAGGGCTCCATTTTCCCTAGAGAGAGGGCATTTTGGGGCAGGAGTGAAGTGAGAGTCTCGGCCTTGGTTAGCTTCATCAGAACGGGAGCATGTGGATTGGTCTTCCCCTCCCAGGCAGGAGCTTTTAAAATTTGTGTTGTTTGCGGATGCTTTCTAACTCTAGAAGAGTAGTAAGCGTGGGGAAACTGGACTCGTATTTTTCTTGGGCTAAACCGAGCTCATATATTTAACCAGTTATTGGATGTGAAATATTACCAAGCACTCTGAGAGCTGAGTGAGATGGATACACAGCAATTTTAATACAAAATTCAGAATTAGCCTCAGAGTGGTTGGTTTTAGTACAAATAATTGTTCATTTTCTGTTATAAGCACACGACTGTTCTGATGTTTAGACAGCCCACAGAATGAAGCCTTAAGAACAAAACATCAAAACCTGCAGATTAGATTTGAGACTAGAGCATGAAATCAGCTCTCTCTCCAAATGTGAAGCGCCTCAGGGAACACGGGCTTCTCAGCAGATGTGGGAAAAGGCGGGTGAAGGGAAGTCTGCTCCGTCGGGTTGAGGAAAGGCCAGGTCGACTTTCTCCTTTCTCTCAGGGTTAGTGATTCCTGACTCCTGGTCAAGTGCCCCCAGGGACTGGGGGATACCTGCCAGTCCTCCCGTCCGTGTGGTGGCGGGTGTCATGGCGGGCCTAGGCGGGGTGTGCACCCTGAGCAGGGTGAGGATTTGGGTATTGGGCGGTTCATGTGTCCTGAAGCTGCTCTTTCACTTCCAGCTCCGATCAAAGGCCTATCGTCCCTTCGTCGAGATCCAGGTTTGCTTTCTCCGTGTCTGTGCTGGACCTCGACCTCAAGCCCTATGAGAGCATTCCTCACCAGTACAAACTGGACGGCAAGATAGTCAACTTCTATTCAAAGACTGTACACGCCAAAGATGCAGCTGTGATGTCGACCAGGTTCAAGGAGAGTGAGGACTGCACGTTAGTTCTCCATAAGGTCTAGGCGCTTCCTGCGGGGTCTTTGAAACTTGAACACAGAATGTGAAGGTTGAATGAGAGGGCTCTTTCCCGTTGTGCTGGGTGACCTTTGGCTGTGAATGTTTTTGCTTTTTAACCCGTGTTCAGGTGGGGCTGCGTCTGGGTGACCCGAATGGAAGGCCACCAGAAACACCTTCGAGGATGGGGAGCGCTGGGCGTGAGCGCTGCTGCGTGCGGTGTCCCCTCACCTTCTGCTCTGGGCCGCTCCTCCTCCCCACCCAGGGCTCATGTCTAATCTCTGATGTAAAAGCCTTAAGACCCAAGGTTTGGATCTCCTACCACCAGACTCTAACATAGTAAACTTGAATTGTCGCGTACATCTTACCGTTTGGACTTGAAGGAAAACATGGATACTACTGGAACTCTCCCAGCTGAGTTTTGTGGTCACTGCTTCCGTGCGAGCCACCAGGCAGCACAGGTTTAGTGGGCTCTCTGCTGCAGAGAGCGATGGGTGGCTGGTGCGGATGTGGGTCCTGAGCTGCGTGGACTCGGGGTCTCGAGGTGCCACGGCCACCGCTCTGCACAGGGCAGGGTCGTCAGGGAGCACGGGACTCAGGTCAGGGGTGGACGCCACTCACTCGAGCGCTTTCTTTTTAGCTGAATGAGTTTATCTCTGACTTGAGGGGAGACGAGGCGTTCCTTGCCACGTGAAGTCGCTGCCGCAGAGCTGGCATCGGGGCAGCTCTGTGCCAGGCATTCTGGGTGTTTGGGGAAGTCGCCAGCGTGGCGTGCTCCCACAAGATGAGCGACTCCTGGCTGCCACCAAGAGGGTTCTCGTTGGGGTCACTGTAGGTGTGCCCGGCTGCTAAGAAAACTGGGGGGAGTCTTGGCTTTGGTTTTTTATTCTATGGTGGGTTGTACAGATTATTTATATCATTGTTTTGAGGGACTAATGAAGGTTTATTGTAACATAAGATTATAATAGCAAAACCACGGAATTGTATGAAAACGCTACGTGAAAAATATTTTGCTGATTGTAAATTTTTGTGGGGAATTTTGTGATAACTTGAGAATTATACTTGTTTGAATCAAGCCAGCTCTCCTAGAATTTATTCGGCCTTGTCCTAACATTTGCTTTCTCCACACTCGGAGGTTCAGAAAAATACTCAAATGACACGTGTCTCGTCCGTGTGCGTTGGGGGGCTGTGGAGACGCCCCTCGCAGGGACATGTGTGGAAGCATCTGTGCTGTTTCGGCCTGAGCTCGCTCCTTGTTGCTGGCCTGCGTGAGGATGGGTGTGCACAGGACCCCGGCCCTGCCAGGAGGTGGGTCAGGCCACCTCCCAGGCCCGTCCTGGCTGAGAGCACCAGCATCCACAGGGGGGACGTGCAGACCGACGAGGTCCTGCCCTGTGTGGTCTCCGCCTCACACTCCAGTGTGGCCCCTTCCCTGACGTACACCTCTCAGTGTTAGCAGGTTAGAGAAGAGCTTCATCCTGATTTCACCTGTTTGTCCCCCAGGGCTCTCCGGCCTTTGGCCACACTGCCTCCCTA